TTTGACAAGTCATGTACATGTTTGATTAATATGCTTGCACACAATACAAATAATCTAGGTTAGTAGAGCATTTGTTCAAAAACTGAAAATACAATACAAAAACTGAAATGTGATTATGTTCTTGAAAAAAAATTGTTCGCCATGTGGGCGACCAGATTTTTAATATCTAATCACCCACAGCAGATTTTACTCGCATTTGCGAGTGGGCGAGTGGTTATCCACATCCCTGATCCCCCATTATGGCCCCACCCTACACTGGAGGATAACTTCAACAAACTTGAATCTACAATACTTGGGGATGTTTCCATATCTGAGGATGATTCCATATCAATACCACTAATCATGGCTTTGTTCTTGAGAAGAAGATTTTACATATTCCTATGTTAATTGATCCCCCATTGTGGCCCCAGCCTACCCCTGGGGGTTATGATTTGAACAAGAGGTCCATTGGCCACATCACTCACCTGAGCACTGTGGCTAGGAAAAAAGCAGAAATCAGTTCAGTATTGAAAAACTTTAATGCATAAGTGGTCTCTACCTACCCCTGAAAGGGGGGGGGGGGGGGTATGATTTGAACAAAATTGAATCTACACTAACTAAAGAACGTTTACATATTTCTTTGACTAACTGTGACTTTTTTCCTACAAGTTTGAACTTTCATTATGGTCCCACCCTATATCCGGGGGTCATGATTTGAACAAATGTGAATCTTCACTATCTTAGGATGCTTCCTTATAAATATGACCAATCTTGCATTTGCTGTTCTTGAGAAGATTTTTAAAAAAAAAAAGGCCTATGTATTCCTATGTATATAATAACTTTAATCATCAATCATGGCCCCACCCTATCCCAAGGAGGTCATGATTTGAACAAACATGAACCTACACTACCTTAGGATACTTCTGAATAGTTAATAACTAATCTTGGCTTTGCTGTTCTTGAGAAGAAGATTTTTCTTATATACTCCAATATATTTGATTGTCCAATGTAGCCCAGCCCTACCCCCAGGGGTCATGATTTGAACAAACTTGAATCTAAATTACCTGAGGATGCTTCCATATAAATATGGCCAATCATGGCTTTGCTGTTCTTGAGAAGAAGATTTTTAAAGATTTTTCCAATATACTCCTATATAAAACTTTGATCGTCCATTGTGGCCCCACCCTAACCATGAGGGTCATGATTTGAACAAACTTGAATCTCCTCTACCTGAGGGTGTTTCCATAAAAATATGACCAATCATGGCTTTGCTGTACTTGAGAAGATTTTTATTAAAAAATTTTCTTATTTATTCCTATGTATAACTTTGATTGTCCATTGTGGCCCTACCCTATCCCTGAGAGTCATGATTTGAACAAACTTGAATCTACACTATCTGAGGATGCCTTCATATAAATATGACCAATCATGGCTTTGCTGTTCTTGAGAGGAAGATTTTTAAAGATTTCCTATATATTCCTATGAAAAATTTTTATAGTCCATTTTGGCCCACCCTACAAACTTGAGTCTACCCTACCTGAAAAAGATTCCACATGAGTTTCATCTTTCCTGATCCAGTGGTTCTTGAGAAGATTTTTAAAAGATGGCAGTAATTTTTCACTGATTTGTCATTATCTCCCCTTGGAAGAGGGCGTGGACCTCTATTAGAACAAACTTGAATCCCTTTACCCAAGGATACTCTGTGCCAAGTTTGGTTGAAATTGGGTCAGTAGTTCTGGAGAAGATGAAAATGTAAAAAGTTTACAACAACGATGACAACAACGACTTGAATCTAAACTACCTGAGGATGATTTCAAATCAATATGACTAATTGTTGCTTTGTTGTTCATGAGAAGAAGATTTTTAAAGATTTTTCCTGTATATACCTATGTAAAACTTTGATCCCCCATTGTGGCCCCACCTTACCCCCAGGGGTCAAGATTTGAACAAACTTGAATTTACATTACCTTAAGATGATTCCATATCAATATGACTAACTGTGGCTTTGTTGTTCTTGAAAAGAAGATTTTTAGAGATTTTTAAAAGATATTTCTATGTAAAACTTTGAACCCCCATAGTGGCCCCACCCTAGCCCCGGGGGTCATGATGGACAAACTTGAATCTTAACTGAGGATTCTTCCATATCAATTTGATTAATCATGGATTTGTTGTTCTTGAGAAGAAGATTTTAAACAAGAGGCCCATGGGCCACATCGCTCACCTGAGCACATTGGCTAGGAAAAAAAAAGCAAAAATCAGTTTAATATTGAAAAGTTACCGAAGGGGGGGGGGGGGTTGAATTTTAAACTACCTGATGATGTTTTCATATCAATATAAAAAATGGCATTGCTGTTCTTGAGCAGAAGATTTTTTCCCATTTATTCATTTGTAAAAATTTGATCCCCCCTTGTGGCCCGACCCTACCCCCATGGGGTCCCTCATTTGAAAAAATTTCATTCTACACTACCCAAGGATGCCTCCATATCAATTTTACTAATCATGGCTTTTCTGTTCTTGAGAAAGAGATTTTTTCCTGTATATTTCTATGTAAAACTTTGATCCCCTTTTGTGGCCCGACCCTACCCCCATGGGGTCATGATTTGAACAAATTTGAATCTACACTACCTGAGGATGCTTCCATATAAATATGAGCAATCATGGCTTTGCTGTTCTTGAGAAGAAGATTTTTTAAGATATTTTCCTATATATTTCTATGTAAAACTTTTATCCCCCATTGTGGCCCCATCCTACCCCCGGGGGTCATGATTTGTACAAACTTGAATCTTCACTATCTGAGAAATCTTCCATATAAATATGACCAATCACGGTTTTGCTGTTCTTAAGAAGAAGATTTTTAAAGATATTTTCCTATATATTTCTATGTAAAACTTTTATCCCCCATTGTGGCCCCAACCTACCCCTGGGGGTCATGATTTGAACAAACTTGAATCTACACAACCTGAGGATGCTTCCATATAAATATGACCAATTATGGCTTTGCTGTTCTTAAGAAGAAAATTTTTAAAGATATTTTCCTATATATTTCTATGTAAAACTTTTATCCCCCATTGTGGCCCCACCCTACCCCTAGGGGTCATGGTTTGAACAAACTTGAATCTACACTACCTGAAGAATCTTCCATATAAATATGACCAATCATGGCTTTGCTGTTCTTAAGAAGAAGATTTTTAAAGATATTTTCCTATATATTTCTATGTAAAACTTTGATTCCCCATTGTAGCCCCACCCTACCCCTAGGGGTCATGATTTGAAGAAACTTGAATCTACACTACCTGAGGATGTTTCCATGTAAGTTTCATCTTTCCTGGCCCTGTGGTTCTTGAGAAGAAGATTTTTAAATGATGCCATTATTTTTTCACTAATTCCTTATTATCTCCCATTGAAAGAGGGCGTAGCCCTTCATTTGAACAAACTTGAATCCCCTTCACCCAAGGATACTTTGTGGCAAGTTTGGTTGAATTTGGCCCAGTGGTTCTTGAGAAGAAGTTGAAAATGTGAAACGTTTACAGACGGACAGATGGACAGAGGGACGGACGGACAAAATGTGATCAGAAAAGCTCACTTGAGCCTTCGGCTCAGGTAAGCTAAAAAGTTTTTTCCTATATATTCCTATGTAAAACTTTGATCCCCCACTGCCACCCCATCCTTCCCCCTAGGGGTCAAGATTTGAACAAATTTGAATCTACACTATGTAATGAAGGTTTCACATAAGTTTCAACTTTTCTGGCCCAATGGTTCTTGAGAAGAAGATTTTTAAAAGATGACACCAAATTTTTCACCAATTCTTAATTATCTACCCTTGAAAGAGGACAAGGCCTTCATTTGAACAAATTTGAATCCACTTCACCCAAGGATGTTTTGTGGCAAATTTGGTCAAAATTTGCTCAGTGGTTCTTAAGAAGAAGTTGAAAATGTGAAAAGTTTACAGATGGACAGACAGACAGATGGAAGCCAGACAAAATCTGATCAGAAAAGCTCACTTGAGCTTTCAGCTCAGGTGAGCTAAAAATTATACAAGTACTGATGGTTTAAATAATGTTTTGCACTTATATTATCAAAACTGAATCACATGACCATATGTCTTTTTCCTTAAGTCTTTAAGCAATTATTAATAATCTATCTTTAAGCTAGGTATCTATGATCATCTTTTAAGGAGATGAAGATGGATTAATGGTTATTTAATTATGGTGTATGACACAATTTTAATCATACTCTAAGCACCAGTAAGCCATCTTTAAGCCAAGCTTAAGGAAGTGTTTCATCTTTTGAAGATATTTGAGCCTTTGGCTCAGAAGAGCTAAAAACTTTTCTCAGATAGGCTATATCATATTCAGTCCAGTTTATTGGTTTCATTTGCTTGTTTAATGTTTTCTTATAATTACAACAGACTGTTATGCATTCAAGATGGCCTAGAACTAAATAAAGTTCCATAAAAAAACTATTTTCTCTACTGACCAATGTCTGTCCCAAAATCAAAGTTTGATGGAGAAGTGTTTAATTATGCTCTAAACCAATGGGATACTTGCATACTTCAAAGCATTACCTATTTTTATGAGCAATGATGTCATATGTTTAATATGACATCTGTGAAGAAGATGATGTAAATTCTACATTTCAATGATTTTTTAAGGAAAAAATGTATTTTACATAATTATTTGGATTTAAAGTCATACAGCACTGGTTTGCTCCAACTCAATCTTTTGCTATAATGTGTAAAATTAAAAAAACAATGAAATATGTGAATATTGTACTGGAGCAGGCTTGCACTTTGTAAATTTTATAGTCAAGATTGGACAAATTTTATCCATTTTGTCCTTTTCTTAAAAAACAACAGAAAAATCCATATAATTTTTAATCACATAAGCAAGAATTGCCTATAATCTTCTTCCAGTCTGTAAGTTTTACTTTCATGTTGGGAGGGGGAGGGGAAGGAGAGACAAACTAATGTTCTTTAGACTTTCAACTCAATAAAAACCATTTTGAATAAATATTTTCCTTACCTTGATCTGTTCTGCATCAGGAGGAGTGGGATATGGAAAATTGACAACTTTATCAATGTTCATATCCTGAAGATAAAAAGACAGCTAAAATCAAAATGGATACACATCCAACTGGAGGCCCATGGGCCACAATTCTGACCTGAGTCAATATTGCCCGGTCTGTCTTCATCAGCCGATTTTTTCTATTATGTACAGAGTTATGCAAAAAGTATTTTGTTAAAATGACATTACTGTGTTACAAAAGCAGGGATAACACTTGGCAAAAATAGTAATACTGTGGCATATGTGTCATTTAAAATAACCAAAAAACAAGCTAATTCAGAAAATTTGCGTCCCCTGCTTAGGGAAAAAAGAAGAGCATGTGCAGTTTGGGGTGGAGGGTGGGGTGGGGTCGGGGTTGGACTCCCCCCCCCCCCCCCCCCCAGATTTGTAGAATTATTAAATGTATACATGTATATTGAAGCAAATAAAAAATGCCAATATGGATATAAAGATTTGATTGCTTATTCTTTAATATGTGTATAGAAGATTCTTTTTATATGGAATTTTTATCACACTGTAATAATGATTTTATGAGTTTGTACAAGCCAGACGTCATAACTTTTTCATTTCACATGCTGAATACTATCATTTAGTAAATCCAAAAAAAAAAAAAAATTTCAAAAAAAAAAAAAAAAAGGATCATCCAGGATTTGAACCCCGTACCTCTCACATGCTAAGCGAAAGTCATACCCCTAGACCACGGATGCACTTGATTGAACATCAAATTAAATGCAAACATTAGGTCACATATAGTGTTTATAAATATTCACGTCCGATATTGTCAAAATTTTACACAATACATGGTGTCTAATTTAGCCTTTACTAAACAGTTAAGAATATAAAGTCTGCCGACAATCTGTATTATACGTAATAACTCGATCTCCATATGCCCCTGTGCTAGAAATAGTACCAAGCGACTTTTTATACAAAAAAACAAAAAAAAAAAAAACGAGGCAGGACACTTTGAGAGGGGCTAAAGAGGCCCTAGGGAGTTATGGTATAAAATTTCATTGCAAAAGCTCAAAACCTTCTTGAGATATCACCCGGGAAAAGGAAGTGTTGCACACAAATAGAATTTATAAATTTACGACCTTGAACTTTGACATTTTGACCTCAGAATCAATAGGGGTCTTCCTTAGGCCACAGGGAGTTGTTATGTAAAATTTCATTGCAAAAGCTCAAAGGATTCTTGAGATATCGCGCAGAAATGAAAGTGTTAAAACAGACAGAATTTATGAATTTATGACCTTGATCTTTGGACCTCAAAAGGGTTCTTCTTTAGGCCATAGGGAGTTGCTATGCAAAATTTCATTGCGAAAGCTCAAAGGGTTCTCGAGATATCGTGCAGAAACGAAAGTGTTACAGACAGACAGAAATACAGACGGATGGACGGATTGACGGACAGACAGACCCAAATTGATATCCCCCACTTTCAGTGAAATCGGGGTACAACAAGCATTTTGAGAGTATTGCATTAATCAATACTACCGTAATTTTTTGAAGACAGGTCGATACTTTTTTTCTCAAATCCTTTAGGATCGCCCTATTTATTAAATAATTGACCTTTCTAAGGCTCAAGTTTATGAAAAATGACACAAAATCTGTAAAATTTACGTCAATTTTAAAACAAATCTGTACAATTTTCATAACTTTTTAAATTATTTTACCGAGAAAGATAATACACAATAAAGAATTAAATATTTCTTCCATTGATTTCTTGCAAATTAAGTTCCATTAAATATCCATCGATGTACCAAAAAAAAAATTATTCAATAATCTCGTAAATAATGTTTCATCAAAGTATATTTTACAACATGCTATCTGTCTCCATCTTGTGAAGTTTTTGTTTCTGGTGGAATCTAACATATTTCAAAACAGCAAAAGAGATGCAATAAAGTGATGCAAGTTTTAATTTCAAAAAAGAAAAGTAAAAAAAAAATTATTTCTTTGATCATTTCCTGTGACGACCGGAAGTGACGACTGACACTCTTAACCCAATTGGTTTTGCCCACTCCTCAAAGTCTATTACTCATAAATGTTTGGTGTCTTAATCTCTTACCGTTTTTGGTATCTCGCTCAGACAACTTCTCATTTTAAAGACAGGAAAACATGTGACCGGAAGGGAATTTTTGAAAGATATTTGAGATAACTCTAGACATTTGCAGTCTCAATAACATATCTAAAAATAATTTCAAATACTTCATCTATAAAGAATATTTATGGGAAAGTAAAATACTCAAATTATGTAGTTTTTCCCTGTAACTGGAAGTTGTCGTTTTTGTTTTTGGTGGGACCAACATCTTTTGAAACTTAGAAAGAGATGCAATAATGTGATGCAAGTTTGAATTAAAAAAAAGAAAAGTTGAATTTTTTATTTCTTTGATCACTTCCTGTGATGACTGGAAGTGATGGCTAACACTCTTAACCCAAATGGGTTTGCCTACTTCTTAAGGTGTGCTGCTCATATAAGATTGGTGTCTTAATCTTTTACCATTTTTGAGATCTTGCTCAGACAACTTCTCATTTTGAGGACAAAAACATGCGACTGGAAGTGAATTTTATAAAGATATTTGATGTTACTCTAGACATTTGCAGTCAGAATAACGTATTTAAAATTCATTTCAAATACTTCATCTATAAAAGATATTTATGGGAAAGTAAAATACTCAAATTATGTAGTTTTTCGCTTATAACTGGAAGTTGTTGTTTTGGTTTCCAGTGGGACTAACATCTTTCAAAAACTGCAAAAGAGATGCAAAAATGTGATGTTAAGTTTGAATAAAAAAAGAAAAGATGAAAATTTTGATTTCTTTGATCACTTCCTGTGATGACCAGAAGTGACGACTGACACCCTTATCCCAGACGGTTTTGCCTATGCCTTAAGGTCTATCACCCATGTAAGTTTGGTGGCTTAATCTCTTACCATTTCTGAGATCTTACTCGGACAAAATATTTTTGAAAAAAATGACAAGAGGCACAAGGGCCTTAATGGTCACCTGAGTATAAAACAACAATCCATAGAAGATCCGTATAGTATAAATAAACAGAACAAACTTGTATCTATACTACCTGAGGATGTTTCCATGTAAATATAACCAATCATGGCTTTGCTGTTCTTGAGAAAAGATTTTTTTTCAAGATTTTTCCTACATATTTCAATGTAGAAATTTCATTGTCCATTGTGACCCACCCTTCCCCTGGGGATCATGATTTTAACAAACCTGAATCTACACTACCTGAAGATGTTCCCACATTTCATCTTCCTTGGTCCAGTGGTTCTGGATAAGAAGATTTTTCCAATGTATTCACATGTAAAACTTTGATCATCCATTGTGGTCCCGTTCTACCCCCAGGTGTCATGATTTGAACAAACTTGAATCTACTCTACATCAGGATGCTACCATATAAATATAGCTGCAATAATGTAGCCCTCTCCCAATTTCTTTTTTTTTTTTTTTTTTTTTTTTTTTGGGAGAGGGCTACAACTCCTTAGGATCTCCGTAATGGTGCGAGTGTGGGAGTGATTCATTACCAGTAAGTGGGTATTTTATTAACATATCTTACCTGAACTCATAAAATGTAGTTGTGCAGGACATGAATTGATCCAAAAATTTACAGAACAATCCGTAAATCAGTTATTTTTCGTGTATGTCAACATCACAACTTGAATTTATCAGCCATTTTTACTGACCTTGATCGATTTTATTTTGGGACAGCCAATGAGATTCGGGATCTAGGGGAGTGGATCTGTATGGATTTCTCTTATTATAAGCATAAAAATCCCTGTTTATGAAAAAAATATCACATGGAATGCTTTTATTTATCGATGTTTAGTGATATCATACAACACAAACATTTATCAACACCGACATTTACATTATCAAGCGATTCTAAATTTCAAGCGCAAGTCTCCTTACATCACACGAGAACTGTCATGGCTGCAGAGGAGAACAACTGGAAAACACGCAGATTTATTTTACTTGGTTTTCGCGTATAAAGGGCTATGATGTTGAAAGTGAATAAAAAGTCCGTCTTATTGGAAGTAAGTTCAATGCAAAAACAATTTATTTTGCTTGCAGTTGCCCGTATCTAAAAAATGTATTTGCACCATTACGGAGATGCAGTGGAATTGTAGCCCTCTCCTGAAAATATCAGATTAAAAAAAATCGGAGAGTGCTACATTATTGCAGCTATATAAATATGACTCATCATGGCTTTGCTGTTCTTGAGAAGAAGATTCAAAGATTTTTCCTATATATTTCTATGTAAAACTTTGATCCTCCCACCCTACCCCTGAGGGTTAAGATTTTAACAAACTTGAGTCTACACTACCTGAGGATGTTTCCATATAAGTTTCATCCTTCCTGGTCCAGTGTCTCTTGAGAAGATTTTTAAAAGATACCAATAATTTTTCACTAATTCTTAATTATCTCCCCTTGGAAAAAGGCATTGGCCCTTCATTTGAACAAACTTGAATCATCTTTACACAAGGATACTTTGTGGCAAGTTTGGTGGAAATTGGCCCAGTGGTTCTTGAGAAGAAGTCGAAAATGTGAAAAGTTTACAAACGATGCACACCGGCACAACGCACATCCACAAGACGATGGACAAAAACAGATAGCAATAGGTGAACTGAGGACTCAGGTGACCTAAAAATTCGGACATATCTTGAATGGTTTCATTAAAACTGACCTAAACATTAATTTAAGAAAAGTGAGGTCAAGGTCAAAAGAAAGGTCAAGGTCAAAAAATGTTGATGCAGTTGAATAGCTTACATCAGTATGTATCAACATATTAAGTTTGATTACACTATCTTGAATGGTATCTTAAAAACTGAGCTAAACACTAATTTAAGAAAAGTGAGGTCAAGGTCAAAAGAAAGGTCAAGGTAAAAAAAAAATGTTGATGCAGTTGAATAGCTTACATCAGTATGTATCAACATATGAAGTTTGATTATACTATCTTGAATGGTATCTTTAAAACCGACCTAAACACTAATTTAAGAAAAGTGAGGTCAAAGTCAA